GTCTTTGATCAATGAGGAATTTCATTCTTAGTAAACTGCCAAAGCCCTCTTCATAGCAGCCATTGTCAAGGTATTCTACGTAATATCCTAGATACCTGTCTGTCCCCTTGATCCTAATCTACACTGTCCATTGAGTGTCACATCCATTGGAGTCGAACCTGGTAGACAGGGATCCACTAGGATTTTTGCTTTCTAGTCAAATGCTCATGCAGCCTGGCTTGCTGGAGATGTACAGACAGAATAATATTAAATTTGAGTATATATACCAATAGACCAGATAATTTAAATATGGGTCTTGCTTGTAAGCCAAGGGCATTTGTAGAACGGTAGATATGTGTCTGTGTTTGAGGAAGAGTAGGGTGGGGATGCTGGTGTCCACATGAGGATCAGTGGTGGTGGGGAAGCTGCTGCCTTTCCTAGTAACTCCCTGGTTTCCTGGAGTTTCTGGTAAAGCTACAGAGGAAGAACTTTGCTTGGTAGAAGATATTGCAAATGCATATATTGCCTCACAGGAAATAGGAAGATGTCAAAGTATTTATGAGGTGGAAAGAGAGTCTATGAATGAAGGATTTATGCCTAGAAGGAGTGAGAGGGTGGTTGATACCAAGAAAAGTCTAGAAAAGAGACTGGAGTGATGCTTACCTGGACTTTAAGAGGGTACAAGAGAAGAGGATGACTCTGAGAGTTCCATTAGTCAGCAGGGGTGCTGGGGCAGTAAGAAGTGAGGGCTATGGAAATCCCAGTGATGGGTGATGGCCAGGCCCACTGCACAGTCACATTAAAACAGCAAAGATGATGTAGCAGTCAATATTGTGCATTGAACTAAGAGTCTATACACCTACCCCATATCCGGTCTCCCTATTTTCATTAAACAATCCTTATAGAATTCTATGAACACTAGCAACCGGCCCCTATCTCTTTAGTGCATGAAATGAGGGTCTGGATCAAGGATGTAACCACAGCATACTGGGAGTGAGGTACTGTCATTTTAAAAAGGCCAAAGATTTATATGATCTGAAGAGAAAGCAGAGTATGAGATAATGTAGTTAGAGAGTAAGAGGGTGCTGCCAGTCTAACAGAATGTAACAGAAAGCCACAACAGGAAGTAGTCTATATGAAGGGTTCTACTGGGCTGCTGCTTTTGCAATATCTAAATATAGTCAGTCTTCAGTATATAAGAAACAGAGTGATGTTCTTATGAGAAGTCATAGAGTTTCCCCCAGACAGACCCAAAGAGCCCTGAGGGGCTAGAAGCCACTTAGCCATCACGCCACTTTGGCTTATGCCCAAATAGCATGGGGCCATAACCATTAATGCTTCTCTACTAAAATGGAAAAGAAAAAAAGTCTCCCTCATTTTTAATAACTTTATTCCCTAAACTTCAAAAATGAAAATTGCCAAGTTAAGAATTTGCCTAGAAAAAGAATTCTAATTCATTATAAAGAAGGTCCGGGGCTTGGGAATTTTTTTAATGCAGATTCCTAATTTTCCAAAGTGACATTCTCCTGTGCATTTGAATAGATTATGCTCAGTATTGCTAGCCCTTAGCACAATGGGAACATTATTAAAACGATTGCATGGGTCTCAGAGGAAGGGCTCTGCTTCTCGTTTCCTTTCTCATTTTGGGGACTTCATATCAGAGACTGTCCATTCCTTGCCTGTGGAAGAAACTGGGTTTCTGAGGAGGTGACATGGAGCTGTGTCACAAAGGGAACAGAAGTCATAAGATTAGACCTGAAGGAAGAAGGGAGGACTGGGTCTCGTTTCCTGAGAGTCCCGTCTAAGATAAGTCCCCTGTGTGCCTGACCCATGGTCCTATTATAAGACCTTACTTTCCTGAAGACACTGAGTGTCAGAGAGCAGCTGTTTCTTTAGGATAATGCCATTACGAGGGAAATGGAGCAGAGTTTTCCCTTGAGGAGTGGGGGTTAGCGCTTGAAAGCAGAGATGGAAGAAAGCAGGAGGATCAGTGCCAGTTCCCTCATCGATGGGATGCCAGTGGCCAAACACGTGTAGAAGAGCCACCCCAGCCCTAAAGAAAGGGGAAGGGGACCCCCAGGCCAGCTGATTCCAAAGGTCAGCAATGGGGAAAGCTTTTCTCCTATGAGCCAGAAGCTTTTGTCTGAGAACCTGGCTCCTGTCTCCTTCCACCCACTCCATTGCTGTCCTAACTCTTCTTCCTTAGCCCTCATTTTCATCTCTTTACTTGGAAATCAGATCAGCTGAGGGAAGGCCAATGGCCATTTAACAACAGCATAGCCAAGACCATACAGCCCCCAAGATCATGCCCTAGTCATTTCTCCGTGTACACTGAGGGTTCCTGGTAGACGTACAACTTCTCCAGAGCAATTTATTCCTCAACTGAAAGTATAAATATCTCAGCTGGTGAGGTCCTGGCAGAGTCTCACAGGGTATAGCCTCAGACAGTCCCTGCATCTAGCATCCAGTCTGAGGACCCTTCCTCCCTACCCACCAAAGGTCAGAGTACCCTGGTGGTGGCTTTTGGGGGTGGGAATGAGCACTTACTCCATCCTCTCTCTAGACAGCTGGGACTCATTCATCCAGCTGTGTGCTGAGAATTAAATTAGGCTCCTGGATCAGCATTCCTGGCCAACACAGGTTCATCCTCTCCAGCTAATCCCCTCCAAGTCAAAACTTCTCCCAATTGTCTAGGCAGGCAACATAGGAGGGCCCCTTCTGGAGGGAGGAAGCAGCAGCCTCTAGCTGTGCCAGAGCAGTATTCTCTGACCTTTGGGCTTTGCCCTATCCATCCTGTCCTTGATCCTTGGGTACTGGGGCTGTGGGCCTTCATAACTACCACCTGTTGTACAGGAAGTGCTCTACTCATCACTGAAGAGCTTGGAAAGCAGGATCCAATTATAAAAGAAAGGGAGTCAAGATTTCTTCATCTCCAAACCCCGACCCTAGCTGAACAGATGAAGGGATGCATCTCCATTTATGGTAAAGGCTAGGTTTTGGCCCCTTTATATGACCCAGAGGTTCCTTTTCTCTGTCCCTTCTTTCCCAGCTAGAGGCCCCTGGACGTACACCTCTGAGATCTGGAACTATAGAAGGAAGGGCTCTAACATAGTTTTGAGTGCCTGAAAGCTTTTGATTCTTTAAGACTTATTCTATTTAAGTTTTTTAAATTATTTAATTTACTTTATGTGTATGTGTATTTTGCCTCCAGATATATGTGTACTGCATGCATGCAATACCCTGGGAGGTCAGAAGAGGGGTTTGGGTCCCCAGGGACTAGAGTTATTGGTGGTTGTTAGCCACCCTGAGGGTGCTGGGAATCAAACTAGGGTCCTCTGCAAGAGCAGCCAGTTCTCTTAACCACTGAGCCATCTATCCAGTCTCAATTTATTCTATTTTTAATTATGTTTATATATGTGAGTATATGTGCACATGAGTGCAGGTGACCTTGGAGGCTAGAAGTGTCAGAGACCCCAGAGCTGGAGTTACAGGTGGTTGTGAGCTGCTTGATGTGAGATGTGAGTGGTAGGAACAGATCTTAAGTCCTCTGCAAAAGCAGTATGTGTTCTTAATCACTGAGGCATCTCTGCAAGTCCATCCTGAAAGTTTTGAATAGAGGAGCAGGTAAGTACCAAGTTTGGCCCTGAGGTCATTTGTGGGAAACTACTGATCTGTGTGACAGTTTCTCTGAATATGAAATTTGATCAAAGACAGTTGGGGAAGGAGAATAAGATGCTGTATGGAACAAGCTTGGGGGCTATGTGCTAGAAAGGTGCAAAATGATGGTGACCTTTGGTACTCTCAGGGAGAGAGAAGTCAAAGGTGGTTTACAAAGTGTCCCCACATAGTCTGGCAGCTTCCTGGGAGTTGGGTGGGGCATGGAGTTGGGAGACAGCCCGTCTAGGTTTAACTAAGCTGGGATATCAGGGCCGTAGGACCTAATGTGAACAAAGTCCCGTGCCCTATGTTCTGCATCTTAATATTCTTTTCCATGTGGTCTGTGAAGAGACCTGTGTTTGAAATGCTAATGTGCAAGGGATAAAGTCAGAGGGTAGTTGCTGCAGAGAAGAAGGTGGCCTGAAACACAGTAGGTTTTCCCTTGGTTAAATGCTGAGTGAGCATTCTAGTGGGTGCAGTTGACATGCTTAGTAGGTAATTATTGAGTTAATGTGGACTTACCATACTAGGGTAGAAAAAGAAGGAGAGCAGTAAGGTAAAGGTCAAAGAAGGGAGTCTCCTGTGAAAGCCCTGCCCCAGAACCCAGGCTCTTGGAGACTCAGGGGTCTGGTGGGAGGTACCTAAAGCAGACACTAAGGGATGGGTCTCAGGGACTACAGCAGCCCAACCTTTACAAGAGATCAGCTTCCAAAAGAAATGGAGGGGACCAAGACAGTGGGAAGACACCATTGCCAAAGGTCACACGTTTTGCAACCAGGGATTCTTCAAAGAACAGGAGCTAAGCTTATGATGGAAAATGGGAGTTGGGGGAAGGAGGTTTGGAAAACAAATCTGGCTCTTTCTAGGCAAAAGTCCAGCAGAGTCCCAAGAGATTCTTCTAAGAGGCAGGTAGTGGGGCATTGGTCAGAAGGACTCAAGGGACCAGAGGAAAGTTGAGTCTGGTACTAAGGAAACTAAGTAGGAAGTCTACCAAACACTCAAAGGCTGTATATGCTGTCCTTGGATCACCAGTGTAGATTTGGCCCTGAACAAGACAAATAGCTTTGGCTGTACTTTCCATTATCTGCAGGGTGAGGGCTGGAGGCAGGTCTATGACCACAACTCCAGGCTATGATCCTGATAGAAGAATTAACTCAGGTAGTGTCTGAACCTGGCATTTTGTGAAATGCAATGAGTCCAAGGATCTGTATTCACCAGACCAGACTCTTTCCAGAGAAGTCTCCCCTGGTCTGACAGGCTAAAGCTGAGACAGGTCTGCCAGTGGCCATAGAATATACCAGCCCCACACCCTCATGGGGTTCTTAAGACCATCATCCCTCTTCATTCTTCCCTGGCATACTCACCTGTGGGCTGTCCTGGTAGGGTGGGGGAGGGACATTCTGCGTGGCCATCATTGTCAGAGCTGGGGCTGGGGAGGCATGTTGCATCATGGGATTGATTCACATGGAGGATCTGTGGACAGAAGAAAAGGGGCCAGTACTGTTAGTACCAAAGAGTACAGGTGTGTGTGTAGGGGGCCAACCAGCTCCATGTTTTCCTATCTGGATTACTTGGACTTGGTAGGATATGCAGGGACTGGAAGCTCTTTCAGGGGAAACAAATCAGAAATAAAGGAGGGGGCTAGGTGGAGGGGGGTTTGCTGGGCTATTTTGACTCAAAGGAAACAATATTCAAATCATATGTAAAACAGTCTGTATCCCTGCAGTGATGCTTTGTTCAGCATCAGCTCTGGCCTGGATGGTAAGGGTGGAGGCAGTGGATAGCTTGGCTGGAGGCAACACAGCAGGCCTGACTCCTCTCCCCTTATGATAAGGATGCTCCTTGCTCCACCCTTTCCCAGACATTCAGGAGCAATGACCAGCATTCACCCAGGCAGGCAGGAAGTTCTTAGACCCCCAACTTCCACCCTGCAGGGTCTTTAAGCACCAGGCTCACCTTCCCAAGTGTGTTCATTACACCCCCTAGTGGTAGGAAGGGACATGGGCCATGAGCCCATCAGACTGCAGCCTAAGGGTGAGTGCCTAGAGGTCTTGGGAAGTGAAAGGAGCAGGACAGCATGAGTCACTTCCTGGTTTTTCTTAGGTGCCTGCTGTGACTCCAGGACTTCTTTCAGTCCCGGTTCAACATAGAGTAACAGGCATGTAGGGCCAGAATTGCTGTTAGAACCAAATGATGACTTGCCACTTACACAGGAGGACAAAGGCCATGAGGAAGTGTGTGTATGTGTGTGTGTGTTACAGATCTGTTCCACTGCACCCTACTGCACCCTATCACCAGTAAAAGGACTGCTCCCTTGGGGCCTTGAAATTTCCCCTTGAACTAGAACATGGTATGTAAGTGGAGACAGCCTGGCAGTGCCACCCAAGGAAACAGGATGCTCAGAGAACTGCTGGGCTGCAGTGGATGCCCTGAAATATTTAGAGCTGGACACCTACCTGCAGGCTACTTGCCATGACAGCACTATCCAGCATGGGGTGGGACAGAATATGGAGGAGGACAGACCTGTCTTCTGGGTAGAGGGGGCTGGTGAGCTAGAAACTTTTGTGAGACAGAGCTCAGAACTCCCTCTCTCTCCCTGAGGGAACTTGGGGGGGGGGCATGTTCCACCAGTCTGATACCCCGTCAGCTTCCCCTTCCCAGGGTCTTTCAGAATATCTATCTATATAGAGTTCTATAGTAACTTAAGGGTATCTTAGAGCTGCCAGAGCTGTGCATGTGTGTGTGTGTGTGTGTGTGTGTGTGTGTGTGTGTGTGTGTGTATGTGTGTGTGTTGTTGCTCTCTTCAGAAAGGGGAAGAAAGAACTACCCTGGCCTGACCTGAGTCTCCAAAGTACTAGGTATGCTTTGACCTCAAGTGCACATGCAAAGCGGTGGAGATTCATGTTTCATTCAACAGATGCTTATCACATATCAACTCTGTGCAGGGATCTGTGCTGAGAGCTGAGAGGCAAGATGGATGAATGAGGCCAGGTCTTCTCTCCAGGGAGTATGGTTGGTAGAGGGAGGTGATGATCTGGCAGGAAAGAAGAAGGTAAAGTGTATATGGAGGTGGGGGCAGATGCTGCAGGGAGCAATGGCTTTACTTGGGCAGAGAAATCCCCTTGGCTTCAAGGCCTGTACCTCTCCACATCCTGGCCTGGCTCAGAGGACATATCACTAGGCTTTCTTTGTATCCACACATTGTGGACATTGAGGCTTCCTTCTGTACGGGCACTCAGCATGGAGCAGTGGGAGAGCATCTCTCTTCAGTCAGGGAAACTGTCTTCATGACTGGGTCTTTGCGGGGTTGGAGTTCAGCCACAGTAGGCCATGGCAAACCAGAGCGAGTTCCCGAAGGAAAAAGAGGACACATATTGTCTTCTCTTCCTCTTTTGCCCATTCCTTCTTTTCATTCTCCTTCTTTGCAGTTCTGGGGGTGGGATGTAGGGCTCTGCACATGCTAGGCAAGTGCTCTATCACTAACCTATATACCCATCCCAGATACAAATTTCTTAAGACACTAGAAAGACTGTCCAGATTAAGACTTTGGCAGATAAGACAACTTTGGGGTCCCTTCCGGGAGCACCAATCTTAGATGTTCAGTGGCAACTTCAAAGGCTGCATGACTGCAATACCAGAAGTTCCCAGAAGAGGGCGCCTGGGGGCAGAGTTGCAGCTCGAGGTGCATACAGAAGGATTTTTTTTTTTTTTCTTCCCCATTGGGGCAACAGTTCCGTTTGACATTGGGTTTGAATCTTTTGGTAACTTCATTCCTAAATGGGAAATTCACAGTGAAGGCACAGCAAAGGAAACTCAAACAGGAGAATTTTGATTAAACAGAGACGTCATAAATTCCCATTCTTTTGTTCACTCTGATAACGGAGGCAGAATCATTTACAGATACTGCCCCTAAATAATATCTGTTGGGGGGCAAGGAGCAATAGCCAACAGTGGTCTGTTCTTAGAGTCGACCATCCATAAGGCAGAGGCATTCTTCAGTCCTGAACCTCCCATGCCTGCAGCAAGGAAGGCAGATGGCCCTGGCCCCTCCCCCTCTCTGGGGTCACCATAGGCTACTAGGCTACTGCCCCATTGCCCTCTATGGGCCTCTCTTGCAGGAGAACAGGAGGCCTTTTCAATAGGGGCTTAAGTTACTTTCTCAGCTCACACAGGCACAATGGCCTCTGGAAACTTGACCCTCCAGAGGCTCAGAGAGTTGCTGTAAGACCCCAAGCCCATCCTGGAAGACTCACTGTTGTCCTCAGTCCCTCTACTCACACACGCACCCCCATCCTTCTCAGTCCTCCTGAAGGAGTTCAGACGACTATCCTGGAGAAGAATTTGGGGATCTGACTCCTCCTGTCAGTCTCTGTGTGTGGGGAGTCTTTGGGCCTTTGGGAAGCCTGTCCCATGTACACTTTTCTTTGGGAGCAAGAAGAGGACCCAGTCCAGGGCTCTAGGCCTTTATTCAGTGGCTCTGTGGGGTTCCTGGCCCTGTCCAAAGCGCCCAGCGTTTCTGTCACCAGACACCACACCAGGGTGTTCAAGGGAGCACTGCCAAGGCCGCAAGAGGGAGGGTTCCAAGGAACAGGGCATTTACTCTGGAGAATTTCTTGTTCAGGCTCTCATTGAATTGAGAGTTTTCTTCCTTTCTTTTTAAAATAATTTATTTATTATTTTTATTTTATGTGTATGAGTGTTATGCCCGTGCAGGACAGAAGAGGCTGTCGGATCCCCTGGAACTGGAGTTACAGACAGTTGTTAGCTACCATGTGGGTGAAGGGATTCGAACCCGGGTCTTCTGCAAGAACAGTCAGTGTTCTTAACCACTGAGCCATCTCTCCAGCCCTGAGAGTTTTCTTTTTAATGCTGAGACCTTAACTATAAGAGAGCTGAGTGGGAGAATCCTATGTAGCTAGCACTCAACTCCACAATGATAGCAAAGAGGAAATAATTTGTGTCACTGATATTGTCATTAAAAGGAGCCAAAAGTGCCATTTTAATGGGCCAAGGAGCTAGGTGAGGTTGTGGGAGGCTGGAGTCAGATGAGAGAGCATGGAAGGACACCCCCCACCCCCCACGTACCAACTTTAGGAAACAGCCCGAAGGGGTCCATCTCTGTCTCTTCATCTCTAGCTTCCCACAGCAGGCACTGAGAGCCCCTCAGACTGGAGCACAAACTCCAGTGTGTTGACAAACACAGGCTTAGGGGGAAAAAAAAATCCAAAACACGGCTGCCAAGCTCGTTAGAAGAAGCTCATTAGGACTTGTTGACATGAAACCCATTAGACCAATTAACATTCCATTAACAGCCTGGGGCACCAAGGGGTTAATGCTGCTGGGCAGTAATTGGGCCAGGGTGCAGGGGTTGGGGGCTTGAGGCCTTAAGGATGAGAAACAAAGTCTAATTGGGAACTGTCTGGCCAGCTGGCCTGACAGCATTTGTTCCTGGCCCCTGACCCTAGCTAGGACTAAATTGTATCCGGTGCTGAGGTAGGAGAGGGGAGGAAAGCCCAACTTTGCTCTGGCCCCTCTCTGTCACACCCAGCCTGCTCCAAACTGGAGGCTGGGCAGGTGGTTAACAGAGCACACAGGGGTGGTGTGTGTGTGGGAGGGTATTTCCATCCTCTTTGACTCTGATGGTTTTCTGTTTTCTTTATCCACAACACCTTCACCCCCACTCTCTCTGATCTTTTTATTTATTTTTATTTTTGAGACAAGGGTTTCTCTATGTAGCCTAGGCTAACCTTGAATTCATCCATCATCTTCCCACCTCAGCCTCCAGAGTGAATGCTGGGATTACTGATGTGCACCACCATACCTGTTTGGTCTAATATCTTTCTTGGCTCTGGAAAGTGAGCCACTTCTCTTGGACTGTTTTTCTGTCATGTTACCTATACTTAGAAAAACTCTGGAGGCACAGAGCCCAATGCATCCCAGAAGTATCGCAGGGCAGAGGGTTAAGGAGGGTGGTCCTGGGTGTCCTTCCTGTCTTCCCTTCCCTCAATAGCAGTTAAGAGTTCCTCTTGGGGAATCCCCTGGGAGTCCTGTCTGTCTTCTAACACACACACACACACACACACACACACTTCATGAGTAGTCTCCTTGCTTTTGCACAAGCAGAGACTATGGAAACCCCATTCCTGGCTGAGTCTCAATTTCCCCAGCTGCAAAATCAGTTGAACAAGAGGATCTGGGAAGTCATCCCAAGGTCTTAAATCCCAGGATCTAGCCTGTGCTTAGGGTCCAAAAATCTGCATTCCTCCCCCAGTAGACTCTGCCACTATCACTTATACAAGTCACTTTCCCATTTGGACTGCAGAATGAAGGGATTTTCCTTCAGAACACTAGCAAAATCTTTGCCCACAATTAGCCCTCTACACATGCTTGTTGAGTTGAATGCCAACAATTGGATTGTAGCTCTACTCCAAAGGCCAGTCAGATCCTGGTTTCTCTTCTTCCAGGATTCACTT